TGGGCCGATTTTGCCTATCTTCGAACTTAACCTTCTTATGGAGCCAAGAAATACGTGTACCAAGTTTCATCATGATATTTAATTTTTTACTCAAGTTACAGCTTGCACGGACGGACGGACGGACAGACAGACATCCGGATTTCAACTCTACTCGTCACCCTGATCACTTTGGTATATATAACCCTATATCTGACTCTTTCAGTTGTAGGACTTACAAACAACCGTTATGTGAACAAAACTATAATACTCTCTTTAGCAACTTTGTTGCGAGAGTATAAAAACGTATTCATAACTATCCCTTCACATTTAATAGCACTTAGAAAGATAGAACAGAAGAGTGAATCGTGTAGAATATAGATATATAAGTATGCTCGTAGTCGGTACTTTTGAATAAACTCTATAAATATATTTATTTCTAAACAACATCAAATGTATGAATTTGATAGTTGTAGAAATTGTCACATTCATATAAGATATAATATACCATATACCTCTATTTGTATTTCAAGCCTATATTAAAGTCAATATTTACTTTGGAGAAAGAAATGTTGCAATAGTTAATATATCACAGCAAATGCAAATATGCAATACCCAATTTGTACCTTTCTTGGGTTTGAATTCCTTATGCCTACGATATCTATTTTTTCAACTGAAATAGTCAATAAGTAATTTTTATTTTTACAGATCCAAAAAATGCCTTCTACAGCTGTTAAACTCAACAACCCGCTGACAACACAGACGGAAAATATGGTAACAGCTCCGGAAATGACAGAAGACGCTACCATTGCATCAGATTTATCGTCACTAGAAACGTAAGTGAAAGCATCTAACCCAAAATAGTGCGAAAATATTAATATACAAAATTAATTTTTAAATTAAGTCATAACACGAATTAAATGAATTCAGAATATATGAGTCTGCAATCGTTTTGTACTATTTAAAAGAATATTTTAATGTATAATATACCGAATTGGTAAATCGCTATATAAAGCATTTGTACTCTTCTTGCAGCGATCCTTCAGCAAATATGGATATTTTAACCAACAAAACGAAAACATCTTCACCAGAGGGCACCGCTAACTGTGAAGATAATAGCAAAAAAAATACCACAAATATGTTACGCCGTGTTAGTATGCTAAAAAGTAATATCGCTTTCTTTGAGAATTTAAAGTTTAAATAAACATTTCTCTAAAACACCTGAAGTTTCACAACTGTTTGGAAACTATTTTACGAAACTAAATATGTTTGCCAATTTCTACTACACACATGATATTGTATGTAGATATGTTTTACGTCTGTAGATACTTATATAACACGCAATTCTATATTCAGGCATCCAAATACATATTTTGATAACTCCGTGCCATTGAATCAGCTTCTGTTTCTGTTCTGTTTCTTGTTGGTTACATATTGTCAATTGAAGTATTATTTAGGTTATCGTATTTAATATAAATTTGCTTATTGGTTTAAAAATTAAATGTAGTTAAATAATTATACCAAATAAAACTTAATTCCGAATTATAAAGACTTTAATTGCCTTTGGGAACTTTTTATAGAAACATTATTATTTTGCGTTTAACAGAAATGGTGGGGATGATATGTTTGCAGTTGTCAATCAGGCAAACCTACGTACATACATACCGTTCCCACGACAGTCGGGTCTACGAAAACCGGAACGGACCCAGATTTTTATCCGGCCGAGGACTGTCAACTCGGTAGAATTCTGCCGTTACAACAACAATAACGTACATACAAATGTATGTTTGTACACATCTACAATATGTATATATAAGAAGTATACTAGAAAACCCCGGCCCCATATACATACATATGTACATTAAATTATCGTAATATAAACTATTGAATAAAGTATAATGGTAATTATGAATTAAGAAGGAAACGTTATAGACGAATCAAAATCCACGGTGTTAAAACTCCAACATGACTTCACTAACATTCAAAGGACCATACATTTTATAGAACCGCCTGAGGTGCCCGTCTGAAGAACAACAAAGCAGCGGGGCCTATGGATTGTCGGCCGAGCTATTCAAACACTGCGGCGGGACTGCTAAGGAGGAGCATGCATCAGCTTTTTTTGTAAAATATGGTCGGACGAAAGCATGCCAAACGATTGGAATTTAATCCGTTCCCACGACAGTCGGGTCTACGAAAACCGGAACGGACCCGGATTTTTATCCAGCCAAGGACTTTCAACTAGGCAGAATTCTGCCGTTACAACAACAACAACATTGGAATTTAAGTATGTTCTGCCCAATCCACAAAAAGAGAGACCCAACAATCTGCGTCAACTACCGTGGGATAAACCTCCTCAACAACGCATATGAAGTTCTACCGAGCGTATTGTGTGAAAGTGTGTGGCTTTAGGCCTGGAAAATCAACAACTGACCAGATATTGACCATGCTCCAATTCTTGGAAAAAATCAGTGAAAAGAGAATCGACACGCATCACCTTAACGGCGATCTTAAAGCTTCTTTTGTCTGGATTTGGTATCCTGGCAAAACTAATACGACTGTGTAAACTAACGTTGAGCAATACCAAAAGCTCCGTCAGGATGGTGAAGAACCTCTTCGAGCCGTTAGATACCAAACGAACGATTCCGTGTTGTGCGATTTCTTCAATCAATTGTGCTATATGGTGATTTTCACACTGCGGCATAGGAATTTTATGTGTTGAATTTGAAATATATGATTTTACCTAAAAGCAAGCGATGATACGCCTGTAGTCCAATTTTGACCCCCAACTCTTTAAAAAGGACTGAAAGTATCAAGTACACATTCTTCTGGATTGCAGGCAAATAAGACGTGTTTTAAAGTGTACCAAATCCATATCCATATTTCTCAACGAGCACTCAATATGAGTATCCTTATTATGGAACAAATTTGGAGAACAAAACAAAGGTATATTAAACAAATACTAATCAGATTTTAGATGCTTTTCAAATTCTTATTTATTTCACTTTTTATGAGACTTTACGAGCCGATGATATTTATAACATATATTATATTATTACAATTTTCATTAAAAACTAAAGCCACTCACAATAGACAGATCCCTAATTATATAGTTATTATTTACAAAAGCGTTTCACATAATCTAACTAACGATATATTTAATAAAAAGTTTAAATTCTTATTGTAAAATTTGATTGAAAACAAGAAGTTTTATAAAAACAAGTACATACACCACTTTAGATTGAAAAACGATGAAGGCACTTTGCAGTAAAATAATAATTTTTCTTCTTAAATTGTTATTTATTTTTGTATATTACAATAGTTATTTTACCTGTTATAATCCTGGCGATTTTTGTTAAGAACCTATTATTAAATGTGTGCAAAAGATTCACATTACTATATTCAAGTATATTATGAATTGTAAGGATGTACATACAGTTGTGAGCATTGAAATAGTAGTGCCTATTGGCAAAGAGAGTTTTGCTTTAAATTTTGTTTCTTTTATAATATTGCCGTCGATCATTACTTTAGTTATATTCTCTGAAGTAAAACGGTCCTGTTATACATAACAATAAGTGTGAAACACTTACCGTTACTTTTTTAAAGTCAATTTTATTGGTATATCTGTTTTTATGAGCGAGCAATAGAATAGTACTGAACGGTGAGCTGATTGCAAACAGATAATTCTCACTAAAAAAATTTAATTTTATCAAACAAAAAGTAAGTTTCCTGATCTTTTATTTATTATTCAATGTAAAAAGCAGAAAAACGGAAATGGATTCACTCTGTCATAAACAACGATAAATCCTACAAGGGAGTGGAAAGAATTGTTGGGTGTTAAGCCACAACGACTCACAATGCAATTATTTATAAAAAAAAGACGAAAAAAGCAATATGGATTCTCTCTGAGAATTGTACACGAATACTTGTAAGATGTGCCAAGACTCGACCTAGAAGGTCAGCTATGGAGATTCGGAATGAACTGAACCTGGAATGCGGTGTTCATACAGTGAGAAGACTTCTACAATTTATAAGTCCGCAGTCCTCGAAAAGTATCATTATTAAAAAAAATCTTGTGACGAGTCCTCTTAAATTCGCCAAAGGACACCTGAATTGGACGATTGAGAAATTACGGAACATCTTGTACACAGACATGTCGAAAATTGTTCTATATGGCGGTAAAGGGTCCCTTCAGTATCTAAGGCGCTCCCCTAATACAGAGTATGGTCCCAGATTCAGCACATAAACTCTGTATTGCCGTTATCAAAAATCATGTCATGCTACCAAGCACTAAGATCTCCTATAGACGAAACTTTCAAAAACACTTCAGTATTTAAAAAAAAAAAAATTTTGTACTTTACTACTATTTTACTGCTTCCAACAATTTTCATACATAAGCACATCTTTGTAAATGAACATATCTTGTACATATTCAAACCTAAATATTTTTAGTAATAAACATAGTCTGGAAAATATGATCCACTTTTGCATTTAAATGGATGCTGAAACTGTTTGGCATTTTACATAACTCACAGATATGTAAATCACTAACACCCACTACTATTTCAGTGCTTGCAGCTGTATGACATCTTTACATTGAAGAATCACTTTGAAGGACTCTTCATATACTTATATATAAATTATAATATAAATTATAATATAATTATACCGTTAAAGATATTTGTCATTCGCGTTTAAACTATGTCAGTTATTTGTTGTTGCATTGTTGTTGCCACTGCTGTGTGGATGGGTCCAAAAAATCACAACTATCAATGGTATAGCAAAACATAAAGCCAAGATTACAACAAACAAGCATACCCAAGTCATGTCTCCATCAGAACCAGACCAATGTAGTGCACTTATTGAGGGCCCTCGGATAGGTCGTACATATGTATCCGCAAAATCATCATCAAGAAAATCCTCTAATAATGCCGTGGAGTCATTGGTAGAATGATTTTCTAGAAAAAAAAATTTTTTATTAATTATTAATCAACTAGACTAATTTTCTTAACAACTAGTACTCATATATCCCAACATCATTCTTGGTTACTTGTGCAACCAGGTTACCTCCCATTATTTCTATGAAAGGCTCATTCAAGACGCCTGTATAAATTTCTAACCCGTCGATTAGGCTGTGAAATGCAACATTTTAAGTAAAAAAGTATAGGAAAACACAAAAAAGATTTAAAAATTTAATTTAATTCCTGCAAAAAGCCCAAACGGAGGCTTTTTTTTTGCAAAATGAAATAAATTTCGATTCAATTCATTGTTGAAGAATAGAATACTTTTATGTCAATGTTCGATTAAAATATTTTGAAAAGATTGAGGTACAGTAAAGTTATCCTGTATGCTACCGCTTCTAAAACGGTTTCTGCTGGAATGTTTCCCTACAGTCATCTGTTAGAAGTGGATGCTTCTTGGAACTTGAAGAGATCTTTCCTTAATTAGGTTGGTGACATTAAACAGTACCATGATCAGACTACGAACGGAACTGACTTTAGACATGTTTGTCTGCCACTCACATACTCTCTCTCTCTTTGAATGCCCAATAAGCTCAACTCGCTTAACCCCTTAGCCCACCAGAATTATTGGTTGTTATTGTTGTTGTAACGGCAGAATTCTTGGTAAATATTGGTAACTGTAGCAGCTCGCTTGACATCACCATCGATAGCAATCTCGATCGAGAAACCCTCACTGAAGTCGCTTGCTTGATGAGGAACCGCCACTAGGAACGTCTATACTACATTCATCCAACACACCGACGCGATGCAGCAATATTCCGACCAAATTTTGGAAGAGAAACCGCCTCTAGGAACGTCTGGGGTACATTACTCCAACACACCGAAGAGGTACAGCAATATTCCGAACAAATTTCGGACGCGACCCATTTTAGACAGGCATTGAACACCATTCACAGTGGAGTTATTAACACCTTCATTGACTCCTTCGTACGCTGTTCATTGATATTGTAGCAGGTTAAATTTCTACTTATCCTAGACCTTGACATGCAGTGACTCACACGTCTAACCGGATGTGTGCATTGCCAATGATGGCACCATCCAATCATAAAGTAAAAATCTTCTCATCAAATTAAAGGAAAAATCTTCTTTTTATTCTTGCGTAACATTTAGAGAAATAACTCGCAACATACAAAATTCGTTCCAAACAAGTATGTGACTTCGATGACTGACTACTACAATTACCAAAGTCACAAATTTCCCAATGCCCCATCCAGTGATATTATGTGTAAATAATGTATTAGTTTGTCCGGAAGTAAATTAAACAATACGTGCACCTAATTTGTATGATTTTTACCTCAAACAAATTATTGTTATTTCTTATTATTTTATTATTTATTTCAAATACTCATTACAATGAAAAACATCCCATTGAAATATACACTATTCATGTTTTTTAATTATATGTCATATAACGTGGGGTAGCGCTGAATTTAGCATAGCTCTTAATCACCTTATTGACTGCTTCTAAGAAATCTTTTTCAGTTGCAACTTTACGACGTGCACGTATGGCGAACATACCTGCTTCAGTACATACTGAACGAATTTCAGCGCCCGTAGAATTCGGACAAAGCCGAGCTAGTAATTCAAATCGTATATCCCTCTCTACAGACATTGACCGGGCATGAATCTTAAATATATGTGTGCGTCCCTCCAAATCAGGTAACCCAAATTCCACTTTACGATCTAAACGTCCCGGACGCATTAATGCCGGATCAAGAGTATCTGGCCTATTAGTAGCCATAAGAACTTTAATATTTCCACGGGGATCGAAACCATCCAACTGATTAATCAATTCGAGCATAGTTCGCTGCACTTCATTGTCGCCCCCTGCACCATCATCAAATCGTGCTCCACCGATCGCATCAATTTCATCAAAGAAAATAAGACAGGCTTTTTTCGACCTCGCCATTTCGAAAAGTTCTCGTACCATTCGAGCGCCTTCGCCTACATATTTCTGTACCAGCTCTGAACCAATCACACGGATGAAACAAGCATCCGTCCGATTAGCTACGGCACGAGCACATAAAGTTTTACCAGTCCCTGGTGGTCCAAATAACAATACACCTTTTGGGGGCTCAATACCTAGATTGACAAACTTTTCAGGATGTAACAGAGGAGTCTCTACTACCTCACGTAATTTTTCAATCTGTTCCTTGCAACCTCCAACATCACTATACGTGACATCAGGCTTATCCTCCACCTGCATCATTGTGACAGTGGGATCAATTTTTGGAGGTAATGGAATATGAATTTGGTACTTGTTACGATCAACTCCGACTCTCATGCCTTCCTCAATATCTGTAGGCGCCACAGAATCAGCCAGATCTACAACAAATTTTGCAAATTGTTTTACATTTATGATATACTTTGGATCATCCGAATCGGCATTAATTATTTTTGTGCAACGAGCAACCTGCAAAGGTTGTTCATTTTGAAGTATCTGCTTATCCGCTGCTAAATCCCAGAGGGCTGGAGGTGCCAACCCAGTATCACTCTCTTTAATCCCAGTAAGTTCGTTTACTTGCTTAACAGCTTTCTGGATGTCTTCCTCAATAGTTTTGATAGCCCTATGATATTGGCTCTGGCCATATGTCTTCAGTAGCTCAATATCACCTTCATCCAAGGACTTTATTTCTTTCTCCTCTAACTCTTCCGATTTGATTTTTCGTTGGTCATCTCCCAAATAATCCGGCATTTTGAAACTTCGTTTTCAACTAATTTAAGAAAATCTATTTAACTTCTCGCAGCAATGACTATACAAATTGAAAACTTGAGCTGTCAACACATTTCGTGGAACAACGACAATTATGGCAAAATATTAAACAAATGAGAATGAAACATACAGGCTGGGCATAAAAAATATGTGAGAAAATTTAGTTTTAATAATTTTCCACTTACGCACTTCACTCGAAAAAAATGTAGTTTATAAAAATAATAAAATATATCTTGGTGAATTACTTTAAAATATAAAGATGATGTACAAGTATTGTGAATTTGTATATATACAAAATTGATAATTAAAATGTCATATTTGTACTCACCTTTTTCCAAGTAGGCACTGTCTTTGCTCCTCAATGTAGAGGCTAAAACTGATTTATTGGTGTCAACATTTTGCGGATTATTATTACCAGAAGCATTTACAGAAGCTATTATCAGTTTTTCGCCTAACATAAAGTTAGCATCCTTCAAAGGGTTTCTAATTATGCCTGATTCATGTTCACTTTGAGATGGACTATTACTCCCACTTTTGTGAACTGTTGGTAATGTTTCCAATAATATCGAATGTGGCGTTACTGGAATTTTTACAAACTTCCTCGCATAAATTTCGTTATCCTTATCAATCTTATTAAGTCGTTTTATGTCTGCAACCTGTTGTAATTTTATAATACATGTATTGATTGAATTAATATTTACACAATGACTTACTGTACAATGAAAACGTAAAGCCAATGCTTGTAAAGAATCACCTACTTCCACTTTAGCCTCAATAGTATTTTCAAAACTATGCAATTGTCTATTTTCTAAACTTGCAATGCGTGGCAACCTCTCCATTTCAACAGGATTCTCATCATCCAAATCTTTATTTAGTGGAGCATATGATGTGTTGGCAGAATAAGACGCACCGTTATAATAGCTAGGTGATAGATTCACTCTCCTATTAAATATTTGATTCACAGAATTAATACCTTAATTAAAAATATATTATCTTACCGTTGCCTACGCATTGCACAGCTATATGTATATTCGCTCATTAAGGTTTAAACATGAAATATGTAAATAAACCTTGGTAACTTGTATCTACAACTCTCGCATTCAATAAGAAGTGATGTGATAAATATGGGTAAAATTCTTTACCAATTTTGAATTTAAAAAGTTTATAAATTTACTAGTTAATAAATAAATCCAAATAAAAAAGCGCGTATCTTAATTTTATATTGTTCAATTTACGTGTAATTACAATGAAACTGTAACACTAATTTTTATTTTGCCCCAGTGATACAGTGCAAATGAAACACGTATACAGGGTAACACAATTTTTCTGCTATTAATTGAAGCTACTCGCGTATGTCATTTTAATGTTTGCATAGAAATAAAAAAAACAATCTGTGGATTCGAATTAATTTAATAGTACAAAGCTTTGATATTCATTTTTATACATAATGATCATTACATATATTTGAAAATTACACGAACCGTCCAACTATTAATTGACGTTTTAAAAACATTAGTGAATGAAACAAACAGAACTTTTCTTAGATAAGAATATGTACATACGTATTTCTACGTTTATAGTCGAAGAATAAATGGAGCTGTTAGCTCCACTTGGAAATTATTACAAAATCTAATAAAAATACCCTTTATATATGTATATTTTATATAGACAAAAACATATTAGCATACCAATAATAAGTGTGGAAGAGGTGCTGCTAATTTTCGCAGACGTTTTGTTTAATGGCCTTTCGTAAATTTATAAAATCTGTACTGCTAGGGATTCCTATTGGTGTAACGTTTCTGGATTGTGTAGGCTATGTGGCTCGAGTGGACGGTAAATATTAACACAATTTTTAAATATTCGTTGTGAACAAATTACTTTTTCTAAGAGTGTGTCGAAAAATATTTTAGGAATATCTATGCAACCAGCCCTTAACCCAGATGCCAGCCAAACAGATTACGTTTTCCTATCTCGCTGGGCTGTGCGTACATGCAACGTGGATCGCGGCGATATCGTTTCACTTATTTCTCCGAAGGACCCCGCACAAAAGATAATAAAGCGTATAGTTGGACTACAGGGTGATGTCGTTTCCACTTTGGGTTACAAACATGAAATAGTGCGTATACCAGAAGGTCATTGTTGGGTAGAAGGGGACCACACTGGCCATTCGCTGGATAGTAACACTTTCGGGCCTGTAGCGCAGGGCTTATTAACGGCTCGAGCGACGTTCATTGTTTGGCCTCCGGAACGCTGGCGTCGACTACAAACTGAGTTACCTCGACGTCGTAGACCCATCCAAATAGCCAAGTCAGCAAGTTACTACAGTCAATAGTAACCTTAAATAGGGCAGTGAAGTTCAAGGTACTTTCGCGTCAATTTTCAGTGATATACCAGCTTTAATTAAGAGTCCTGAAAGTGTTATATGTATATAAAATTAAACTACAGTTTGAATGTTATAAATTTGAAGAACATATGTGTGCGAATGTTTGAAAAACAGTTAAAAATTTCAAGTTAATTTTTGAGGGTTTATGAAAGTAATTAGAGTTGTATTTACACCTTTTGAAGTACGTATAATTATTGTAAATTAAAATTATTGCAAATTTTCTGTTTTTGTTTTTTTCCAGAATGCATTTTATTTAATATAATTTATATTATGGGTTTTATGTTAAATTCATGTAACACATCTACAGTAGTTTTAAGAGCTACCCCTTCTCTTATTATTGTATATACACCTGGCTGAGATAAATCTACTACAGTTGATCCAGAACGTCTGTCTTCAGTTAAGCCTATGGGGCCTGCGTTAAAAATTCCACCTAGATTGGGCCACAAGGATTCGAATTCATTTATATTTAGACTACTACGTTCGGCGGATCGATTTGCACTAGTTAAAGCAAGTGGTTGTTCACTAAATATTGAACATAATTCCTGAATAAAAGAAAACTGTGGAATACGTATACCAATTTTTGTTGTGTTGGGGTTTAAAAAACGATTAGTAAGATGCTTAGAACGTTCGATGATTATTGTAATAGGACCCGGAAGCAGACGTTGAAGTAATAAGTCATTTAAATGGTCTGCAATTCCGTATCGTCGAAAGGCCTCTAGATTTTTTACACATATAGCCACTGGTTTATAACAATCGCGTCCTTTTATGTCGTACAGTTTTCGAATGGCCTTTTCATTATTCGCATTACACGCTAATCCATAGACAGTATCTGTGGGCAAACCAATTACCTCTCCATCTAAGATACATTCAACTGCTATATGCAACGCTTTTATATCATGGACTTTGTATATTTTTTTTCCTGGAGGTTGTAGCATTTTTACGGACGTCGATAAATCGTGTCTATAATTGCGGTGATAGAAAACGTTCAGAAACGTCGATAATCTTGTATTCATTCCAACGTATTATTAGAACATGTGCAACTTTAACACATAAACTGTATATTTAATCACGCCAGTTATGACCACAAAGTTGATTGCAACACTTGTAAAATGTTGTCATAGGTTCATCGGCAGATCGAGTTTGCATTTGCATAAAATAAGCTTTTTTATGAGAACAAGTGGGACACTCGGCATCAGTCGAATCTACATTCTCCCAAGCGGCTGCACCACCCATAACATGATCAACCTCCTATAAATTAACACAGATTTAAGAAAATAAGATAAACAGCGATTTTCAAAATTGGCTCACCTTAAGACGTGGAAACGTTCGTGTAGAAGTTTTTCGCCTGATATTACAAATATATGGGCACGTACTACAAGTGAAGCGGTGTCCTGTTGTATTTTGTTCGACCATTAATATATTGCCACAAGTCGGACAGAATAATAGCATAATTCAAAAGTTCATTTGATATTTTACAATTATTTCGCTGAATTTTAAGCACGTTCTTTATACCAGCATTTCTTAAATACCAGCTGACAACTTACTATCAATATATACATGCAATTATTGTTATCTTGATAATATTATAACAAACAAACAGATCCAACGTTTGACTATAATCATCAAACAATAAAAGTTATAGCTGTTGCAAGGTAGATTATTCTATTTGCTACAAATTTTCAGACACAATACAAAAACTTTTTTTGGGGAAAAGTATCCATCTTTCAACTTTTGCGGCTATGAAGAAAAGCTGAATTTTGTTTACTTGCGCATCGATTTCTTTGTGGCATGCCGTCTTTCAAATACAAGTACCCATTCTCACGAGGCCTGAAATGTGTGTTGTCAACGATTACGACATGTAATTGTCGGGAATATGAATATTTCATTATATTCTTGAATGATATCAAAATTTATGTAGATCAATCGATTTTACTATTAATTTCATTCAAAATTTTGAAGAACTCGGTGCGGTATCACCGGTATCAACGGCATCTTGAAACTATTATTGATAATCAAGTTGGGTGTGATCAAGTCAAAAGCAAGTTCTTGATCGTGTAACTACAGCGATATTTATGAAAGGCATACACGCAACAATTATTGTACCAATTTCATCGAATTGTACAACTGATTGTTACGTACATGAGGCAGTTGTATGAGTTTTGTCCACTGATTGGATGACATGTTTGGGTGTATTCCTTCCATTACACAATAACCGTAGAGTTATCTATGCTTTGTGACATTTGCTTTCGAAAACCTTAGCGATAATACTTACATGAGTATCGATACAGAAAATCAGAAAGTGTATATAAAATCGACTTTCTCATCACTATTATAAAACATTACGCCGGTTGTGCTCTGAAAGCTAAGATTTTTTTTTTGTTAATATTAGCATCAAATAATTAACTTGAAAGTGGTATGTTTGCCATAAATGTCTCTTACTTTTTATTGAAAGTTATGATTTGAATAGATTTTAGGCTTCCATTTAGTACTATTTTTGCAACCAATTTTTTTGTAATGCGACGTGTCATTTTTTCTCTTATTTTAAACATCACTCTTTACAGGTATCTGTTTTGCTTGCAGTTTGGGAAGAATTAACTGTGCAAAATGATTAGCGACGTTCAACTGGCTATCTTTTCCAATGTTTTGGGTGTTTTCCTATTCCTTTTAGTGGTAGCTTACCACTATATCTCAGCCAACTCTAACAAGTAAGAATTTATTTAAATTACATGAGACAAAATGTTTGCTCATTATCTTTTCTTTCAGAAGCATGGCGAAGACAAAATAAAAATATGCTTAAATACATAGCAGATTTCATAATATTTATTTAAAAAAAATGGACCTTGGAATAAATAAATACATTTTGGATTATTATTTAGCTTTTTTTTAGTTCAGTGCGCCTTTGATGAGCCAATTATTTTTTTTTTTATTTTTATTTCATGTTACGAATATCGGCAACAACATCCATGTCATCGACTATCTCATTTGCTTCAAAACTTTTGGATGGTTTTTTCGTATGTCTTTTATATGGTTTGCCACACAATTGTTCAAACCTATAATTAGCGGGAAATTTGTGTTTGTTGATGCAGTGTTCTCTACGTTGCTTTGGTGTAGGAAATTTTACTTTACATTCTCCCAAAAAACATGAATACATAGCGTCTCCACGTTTTGCGCGAATAATAAAATAGGAATCGTGACACTCTAAAATATGCAAGCACAGCAAATGCGTTGTAGGCAAACAACGACGGCAAACAGAACATAAATGTCGATGTACATTGTAAAAATGAGCCTGGTAGGAAGCGGAGCTTTCAAATGCAATTTGGCATCCAGGCAAGTCACAAAATAAATAATTTTCGTCCGCCTCTGGCAAATTATCTTGTAATTCATTGACAACAGTTATGACACCAAGTTTTTTGTATTCTGGTATGTACATTTGATTGGCGACATTAAAACAGCTATCCTCTGGTGATTTGTAACCAACTGGAATACTGTTTAATAAGTTTATTATCTCTGCAACTGATAACATTTTACTTCAAAACTTTTTTATACAAATTTTTAGCGTAACTTAGGCACTAAGGAACGAACTAAAATACTTTTACAACGGTATGGGCAATTAAGTTTAGTGAATTTACTGTTATAAATTAAAAGGGCTGCCAAGCCTCTAAATCTCAAATCAAGTTTCGCTCACTCTTTAACATTGTATGAAAAATAGGTCTTTAAAAGTTCATAAGTATTAGCAAATCTGTTTGTTCAATTTAATTTTTATCCGAAACCTAACAATCTGTTCCATATAGTGTATAGTACACATGGCCATATGTATGTAAGTATGAATATGCACATTCTTATACCCACTGAAGTATAACAATTTATATAAAACCAATTATATCGTTCTTTATTTAACATACATACATAAATTTTGGTCTCTTTAACATTACAGTGCAGAGTATTATAGATCCTTCTGAATAAGTTCTCTTTCGATCAATTATACTTTAGTACAGAACAAACCTCAATTTGGAAAATAATCACAAGTGATAAATCGGCTAAAAATTTCCTCAAAAGTGCTTATATGATTTAATAGTTATACATAAGTAGCTAATAGTAGCGCTACGGTTGATTTACTTGTGTAGAGCCGCTGTGTCGAGCTTTGGTGCTGGTTTGCTTGCCATACCAGACAGCAACTTTTTTATTTCGGCGATCGCACGACCAGGATTCAAATTTTTAGGACAAGTACGTGTACAATTCATGATTGTATGACATCTATATACGCTGAAGGGATCCTTAAGCTTGCTCAAACGTTCCGTGGTATTTTCATCTCGAGAATCAATAATCCAACGATAAGCTTGCATCAATACAGCTGGTCCTAAATACTTGTCTCCATTCCACCAATATGATGGGCACGAAGTTGAGCAGCAAGCGCAAAGAATGCATTCATACAGACCATCAAGTTTGGAACGATCTTCTACAGATTGCAAATATTGCGCTTTACCCTTTGATTCTGCTATTTCATTCCTATAACAAATATGTCATATATGAACTGGTTTACAAATAGCTAAATGAACTCACTTTCTTTGTAGCCAAGGTTGAATAGAACGGTACTGTTCATAAAAATTATTCAAGTCAGGCACTAAATCGCGAACTACGTACATGTGTGGGAGGGGATAAACTTTAAGCGGCTTTGAAAGATTTTTGTCAATTTTGCTAAAAATATATACTAATTTTAATTATTCTTAATACTAAAACGTAAAATTTATACAACTCCTCACCTAATACATGCCAGAGTATTTGTACCACCGATATTCATAGCACATGATCCGCAAATTCCTTCTCGACATGAACGACGGAAAGTTAATGTTGGATCAACCTCATTCTTAATTTTGATTAAAGCATCTAAGACCATGGGACCGCATTCACGTAGATTCACTTCATACGTCTGCATGTAAGGTTTTTCTCCAGCATTGTCTGGATTCCATCGGTAGATTTGAAAAGTCTTGATTTGCGGTTCCTTTATCTCCACGGTTTCCACTTGCTGAGCCAAATATTTACCCGTAGCGAGTGATCTAAGCTAAAGTCATATATACATACATGTTTATATAAATATTTTATAATATGAAATAGTATATTTAGAAATAATATGCGTGCCACAAATTATTTACAACAATACTTTTGTACATAAAAGTTTTTAAACGTGTGAGACGTGTACAAAATAGGATTTTCGTAATTGTTTTGGTACTTTATATAACATTAATCAAACATATAAACTATGTATTTATCTACTTTTTAGAATACCAATTTTTAAGCAAGTATATTTGTATTATATTAGTAATTATAGCTTTCAACCGATGAATTTATTTTTGCATTATGTAATAACAAAATTTCTATCGAGTCATATTTTCACTGTACATAGTCGAAACCTACTTTTAGCAAAATCTCCTTTTAGGAGGTGCAGCCTTTTATATTACCTGTTGGCGGCCAGAAATCACTCCTATACGGTTCAATGCAATACGCGCTTCGTTGACGAGAGCCATGGTTAAAAAGGGTAATCAATATGCTCAAAGTGGTATTGGCAAATATTTTTCAACGCGCACAAAAATACCTACTTGTTTGCAAAACACACGCAGTAACAGAAAGCGGCGACTGAATGTCTATGCTGCTAACAGAAGCAGAGCGTTGCATGTACCTGTGCTACCAAGTTAAATATCATTAAGATCTGTTGGCCGCAGTATTACCATGTACTTGATAAAATAAAACTTTCCTCGATTTGCTTGACAATTCATACTTAAGCTACGAAGTGAAGAAAGCAAATGGTATGTCAGAATGACTGTTGCTTGGCAAAGCGTAAAAAGATTTGAGTTGCCCCACTTTTTGCTTCGCTTTGCTACATTTCGCTCCGATGCGCCCTTAAGAACGTGTGTATTTTAATATTTGACAGATGTCGCTTGTCGTCTGTCGCGCTCTATGTGTTCGGATTGTGAACATACGTATGCACAAACAAACATCGAATTTTTGTGTCAAAACAAATGTCGGACGTTAAGCGAAGCAAAGTTCCTATATGAATCGTAAGTACATATAACTTGAACTATTTTTAATGATCTTTGCAACACTAATAGGAAAGAGCTGTAACTAATTAATATAAGTTTCAATCATTTTTGGTGGATTATTTTATGATTGTTGTTCTATTTTCAAACAGTTGCCTTGTTTGATGAGGAGAAATTAAGAAACCGATTACTTCCTTGAGAATTGATTCGTATACAGAAGCAGAAAATTACCATATCTTGGTTTTTTGCATATAGTTTTATGTGAAACTTTCTTTTATTTAACACTAAAGATTTTATTTCGTTCAAATATCAAATACTGAGATATACATACTTATTTCAGAAGTTGAAACAACTTTTTATGTATTAACAACTGTTACATATGATTCATTCATATTTAGCGCTAAGTTGCGTTGTAGTTAAGAATATATGTTTTATTTTCTTTAACATATCAGACAAACTTACCAATATAGAAAGTAAAAAGTCAACCGAAAAGTCATATGTTCATATAGCCGGCCAAAACCCTGTGACCGTGAGTTATGAGGAATTTCCCTATGTGCTATGTAATATATTAGCTAGGGAGAAAGTCTAAATTGATTTAATTTACTTTTGACATTGACGTATAGTACGCTTTAGAACGTTTTCTCGTTCGCTTCCCATATTGTACCAAACTTGTGAAAGTTAAGTTTCGGTTTTGACCCTAAATGCTACATGCTTTATAACGTTGACAAAAAAGTCTTGCGGTATTTTTATTGAATTTTTAATTGTTCATAAAATTTTTTTTTATGACTCATGCCTAGCTCTTGACCGCTGTTACGGCTGCTACTATGCCGGTCTCTTTCGACCAATTCAGCGATTTTATAGCAATTTTCGACGACAGGACTTCCGGAGCGTGGCGCATCTTCGACCACCTCTAAAATGGAAACAGTATCGGGTCCATAAACTGCTCAAATTTTATTGGCGGCTTGAGATGCATTTTTGCCTTTATCGTAGTAGTACTGTAAAATATGCCGCATTTTCTCTTTATTTTGCACCATGTTTGCCACGCTATAACTCACGAACGACTTAAAAGAAACGACAATCAATCAAACAGCGCGTGAAATTGGAAAGCTAAAAAGGTATAGCATGACCCGATGCGACGAATAAAACTAGAACTACGCGCTCTCAGCGCCAACTAGCGAAAATACCGCAAGACTTTTTTGACAAACTAATATAATGTTTTATTCTGATATTTTCAATGGTGCCTGATTAATATATTATCAGTTTTAGTCAGATTATACTAATTTGATATAAGATCAGTAGAGAAATATGGCACATGTATATACATTATTGTGTTTTTTTTTTTGCACTATTCATTTTTTTCAATCCTGTCACGAAACTTCCTTGGAAATACCCTAAACAAAATTCCCTGAAAATTTTAGCCCTTAATATTAACATTAAGAACTGGACCAAGGCATAGCACATTTAATTAAATTATTCAAATTTTTAGTTTTACCAACTATTTTTTAATGTTGCTCCTTACAATCTCATTTTAACGAAATTTAATTGGACAAAGTAATAGCACACATTTAGTTATTTGTACAAATATTCATTACTAATTGGTAGTCGTAGAAAAATACCTTAATTTAACTGTAGTAAAGATTAAAATGGGTAAAAATTGTTCAAGGAAATAAATTTTGTTAAAAGGGATCCTATTTTGATGAAAAAAACCGCTTTTCACGTAAAACAACGGAACATGCTGAAAAAGCCATTATCAGGAGAGCAAGACTGATCCTTTTAAATATCCCAGAGAGATTATGGCTGAAATAAATGAGGAATTTTTATTTATTGTATCCAGTAGAATTGTAGGAAGTCGTCTCAATGATGCTCAATTGGTAGGACGAATGAATCGAAAAACATCATTGCCGTCCAAAAGAAACATGAGAGCACGGCTCAACTTTGCTAAAGAATATTTAGAAAAGGACGTCTGAATTTGGAAAAGTTTACTTTGAGCGATGAAAGATAAATCGTGTTGGATCCGATAGCAAACATTTGTTCACARCAGGTGTGCCACAAAAGCAAGGCGGCGGTAACCGGATAGTTTGGGATGATAGTGAGTCCGGCGTGGAACCTTTTGTGGGTGAGTATAGATTGTAGAATGGACCAATTTTCATACCTCTTAAAAAATATGTAAATGATCGAAAGCACGCAACTAATAAATGAAGAATTCGCTCTATACCGAAAGTATTGACTTCATGCGCTGGCCAGCGAAAAGCCCCGATGTAAACCCCATTGAAAATTTATTGAGCGATATTAATATGCAGATTACTATCAAAAAAAATTAAAAATTTGTACTGCGATCGAGGAGGCGTGTACGCAATTCAGCAAAGTAGGTGTCAGATGTTAGTGAACAGTTTGCCCCGACGATGTCAAGCAATTTTGAAAAATTGTGGACACACTACAAATTATTAACGTTATGAGTGCTTTAAAGCAGTAACACTTAAAAGCGGCCTACTGTGTTATTAAATAACACTGAATAAAAAAAATAAGATTACTTCTTAATTTTTTCTATAGAACTTACTTATTCCATAAAAAAATAAAGAGGTAAATTTTTGAATAAAAAACTGGGATTTTATTCCAAGAATTTTTCATTTTATACAAACTTTGTTTGGCACAAAATTCAAGAAATCAGATAATAAATAAAAAAAATTAGCAAATTATTATTAGTAAACAAGTCAGTTACCTTAATATCTATACGGATATGACATCAGGCGACTAAGCAGCAACGGCCTGACCTCAACTCTCTTGACCCGAAACTATTCCTTCGCTAATTTACTTGTATGTTTCCGGTCGTATTCTTGCTTACACAACCACTTTAAAGGTGTATATTACTCAGCATATAACAGCATAATATTTTCTAATATTTCCACATACGTGTAATCCATGATTTCTTTTACAGATGGATCGGTCCAATGCTGTTGTACGAGAAACTATCTCATAGCATCACTTTTGGTTTCCTTAATGTATTCCGGATTATATTCAGTATTTGGAGGACGACGGACATATTGCCTAGACTCAGTGCCACCAAACAAAATTACCTTACATTCGTCTGTCCAAAAAATATTGTGGATCCGATAGCAAATGGTTTTGCATTTTCGTTCAGGTATCTCTGGTTAATTTTTGTAGGAGAGGGCAATTGCCATCATTTCATTAGAGAGCCTGAGTACGTCTTTAATTTATGTATCAGATTTCACATTCGTCGCTTCCGTGTTTTCTTCTATGAACTAATTAAAATAAGCCGAGCTAAATTTTACGAATTCCCATCGGTTTAATTTTTCTATACTTATTTCTTAATTTTTAAAGAATTTGTTTGACAATAAATGACACTCCTATTTTTTCGAACAGCGCAAATAGCGACTATGTGACGCAGTGATATTTACGTTCTGGCATTATTAATTTTTTGGATCAAATATTTTTTCCAGGGACGCTCCTAATATTTTGAACACCGCTCTATTTATAGTAGTTATTTAGCTAGTTATAAGTGTTATTAGCAAACTTTAGGTGAAGAAAATGTCATGCTACACGTTACGAGAGTAGAGAAAACTCTCTCACAAATCCCGCACTCGTTCGGAAGTTGTTAAAATTTTGAGACACCGTTTAAAGGATAACAACATTAACATTAGAAATAGAACTGCGCTGCAAGCGCTACTAGAGCCAAATCATGAATGTATGGTATGTACATATACAATATAGAATGGGTTAGGCTTTAAACTGTATATTTCGTTAATGTGAATAAAAGCTTTCAGTCTTCTTCGTCCTATTTGAGAGTGGTAGAGTACACTATACAATAAACTTCTTTTAGGGGATGTTTTTAAAAGCTCTAAAGGGTAAGGTGAAGAGCAATAGTTCAAAGTATATATGGCAACAGTTGCGAAACAACTGACAATCAAGTTGGAACTTCCCACGGTTAATCACTATCTGAGCAAAATCAAAGATTGAACAAAAGTGCCAAATAGCAATTCGGGAACTAAAACAATTCCATAAGCACATTTACAAAATACCGTTATTGTTAAAACGTATCTGAGGCAAACATAAATTAATGATTCTCAAATAACCAACCTTTCGCAAATACACCTGAATAATTAATATTTTAGTGGTACATCCACCAACAGGCGCCAATAATTTCTATAGTGAGTTTATAACCTGTAATACAATATAAGTATGATTTTCCGCTGCTTCATATGACTGCGGTGAGTTCTGAAATGCAATTGTGTGTTGAATGGCTTGGTGTGCCCAACTTTTGTGGTGTAAAAGCAAAAATTCGGGATATTTTAAGTTCAGTTAGTAATGAACTTTCAGTAAATGTATATATAAACATTAACAACTAATACTATTTTAATATTCCAAAGTTAAACTAATCATATAGATTTGTAAATAGCTACAATAAAATGTATGGAAAGTGAGATAAAAAATAGTACGAAAAATGATAATGTGATAATTCAAAAATCAAAAAATATGTATGTGTATATATACATTTGTCCATATATATTATGAAAAGTTAATAAAGTAATGATCAAATGAAAATGCTATATTATTGCGAGTTTTTAAAGCTGCACTCATCATTATATATATACGAGTACAATTTATGTATATATGTAGGTTGATATACATATATACAGCTGATTTGTATGTACATACGTAAAATTTGGACGAAAATCTTTTATGTCACAATTATACCGACCGAATTTGTAAGCTCTATACACTTAATTGTTAACGAGCAAGGGCATTGTCAACAGCAAATTTTGGTATGCCTATATTCTTAACAATAATTTGTACATATTATGCTTATCCTTTCTCTAATATACCGATTTCATTCACTGGAATACAGATGATGCGTCTTAGTGTTTGTTTGATTGTAATTGAAATAAAAAGACCAGTGTTGTATAAATAATATACTTTTATTCTGTTTATTATGTTCAAAATAGCATACCAAGCTTAAGTTTGTTATCTCAAATAACGACAAAGCTTTGGTTTTATTAATTTCATACTTTATTGCAGTTGAAACTACTTTCCGGCTCCAAGAGATAAAATGAATAACACATTTCCAGCATTTACCAAAATTTCTGATATTCCGCGAACGATTGCCCACATTTAAAAAGTGATATAAATTAGGCAAAAACATTGTCAGTTTATCTTAACGAATTGAATAGCTTGACCGAACCTCGCTAAAACAAATAAGGACATACTAACGACAATAATTAGTGTAACAACTGGTAGGATTATAACACACCAAGAAATATTACTCACAAATCTACGACTAGAAAGGAAGCAATGGAATTAGTATCTCATAAAATGTAATGTGAAATGCTATTGTGGTATACAAAATATAATAACCGTGCTCATCCTGAATTGTAATCACCAAATGAAAACATGAAGATTTTCATAATTTGATCGTACGAGTTTAAACATTTTTTATCATTCAAAAAGTAATATCGGAAAAAGTAATTTTGCTTAATAGTGGAGACAAATTTATATAAACGCCGCAAGTAATGGCGATGGAATGGATTACCGCGATGGACAAACGGTAAGTATCAATACATAAATAATTTATGGTTTCATGGACATATGAAAATTTATAATATACTCTTTGGTTGGTTAATTGACAATACAATAATAATCAACAATCTTTAAACGAATTTCACTAGAGTCATTCATTTTTATTAGGAGAATGTGTGAATTATTGGAGAAATAAACTCAATACATTTCTCAACATTGCAGTATTGGCGTAAACAATACTTAGTTAAAAATTGTCTCATAAATCATAATTTGGCGCATATCACTATCAATCTATCAATAATACTACGAACAAGAATACTTCCAGTCGAGATACAAAGATAATATTGTATTCTTTAATACAAAATTAAAAAAAAATCATCAAATAGTCGTATTTTAACAACTCTAATCCCAGTATAAAGCCATGTGTAGAAGTTCTCTGAGCCCCGTTCATTTCGGAGTGGCCAGAAACGATTCTTTTACATTCACACGACTTCTGGTCTTACACCAAGTATGCCACCTTATGACCAAAAATTGTTCAAATCCAACAAAACTATTCAATCTCTTAAATACCAAATATGTGGACCCCAGTATCTGTAGTTGACTTTTGACCGAAAATAACGGTCAATGTAAGAGATATACAATTGAAACTCAGAGAGAATCCCTTCTTGATAATACATAGTATATCTGTGTGAGTCCTGCAAGTTGCAAGAGTATAAAATATTCGACTGCGTGGTTAGTGTCCGATTTCGCTAATTTTCACAGCTGGACATTGGAATGTAAAAGGAATGCCATGTACCAAATTTTGTCGAAATCGGTCAATCGGGTCCCGAGTCCTATATGGATTTCACCAATAAGCTCACTTATATAATCTGGGTGGTAAAATTTAAGTCTCTGGTGTATGTAATTATTGATTTATCGTGTTTTTTTTATAATATCGTTATATATATTATATTAAGTGGTTTAGAAGATATGTACATTAAACTTGTTAGAAGGCGTGGTCACGCTCACTTTAAAAAAAATGTCGCCCACAGGTGTCACTTGCTACTGCGGTCCTCTGTACCAAATTACACCTTTATTTCTTAATTTAGTCCTTAGTTATAGCACTTTATATCTTTTCGGTTAATGGCGATTTGTGGGCGTGGCAGTGGTCCGAATTCGCTCATCCACGAACTCGATTTTTTTTTGTAATAATGAACATACCACCTTTAATCGAGATATCTCAATTTTAGTCAAGTAACCTTATATCTATCTCGATTAGTTTTAGCTGATACGCACAACCGTTAGTTGAACAAAACTATAATTAACTTTGTAGCAACTGGTTGCAAGAGTATAAATATATATTCATGTATATAATATATATGTACTAGAAATATGAATATATGAAATTTTTATTTATTTTTCGCCAAAAAAGTCTTCGCTTCGCGTATCTTCTTTCTAAAAATTTCCAAGCTTTTTTATACTCTCGCAACAAAGTCCTAAAACTAAAAGAGTCAGATATAGGGTTATATATACCAAAGTGATCAGGGTGACGAGTAGAGTTGAAATTCGGATGTCTGTCTGTCCGTCTGTCCGTGCAAGCTGTAACTTGAGTAAAAATTGAGATATCATGATGAAACTTGGTACACGTATTTCTTGGCTCCATAAGAAGGTTAAGTTCGAAGATGGGAAAAATCGGCCCACTACCACGCCCATAAAATGGCGGAAACCGAAAACCTATAAAGTGTCATAACTAAGCCATAAATAAAGATATTAAAATGAAATTTGGCACAAAGGATCGCATTAGGGAGGGGCATATTTGGACGTAATTTTTTTGGAAAAGTGGGCGTAGCCCCGCCCCCCCTACTAACTTTTTTGTACATATCTCGAACACTACTATAGCTATGTCAACCAAACTGTATAGAGTCGTTTCTTTTAGGCATTTCCATATACAGTTCAAAAATGGAAGAAATCGGATAATAACCACGCCCACCTCCCATACAAAGGTTATGTTGAAAATCACTAAAATTGCGTTAACCGACTAACAAAAAACGTCAGAAACACTAAATTTTAAGGAAGAAATGTCAGAAGGAGGCTGCATCTAGGCTTTTTGTAAAAAATTTAAAATGGGCGTGGCGTCGCCCACTTATGGACCAAAAACCATATCTCAAGAAGTACTTGACCGATTTCAATGAAATTCGGTATATAATTTTTTGTTAACACCCTGATGACATGTACCAAATATGGGTGAAATCGGTTCACAACCACGCCTGAGTATAAAATGTTCGGTGACACCCGAACTTAGCCCCTCCTTACTTGTTTGTATTGCATTTCTTGCAAATCCCTTAGTAATAAAAGTATGGTTAAGTATTCCAAGCCGAATTTAAGTTTATCTAGGTTACGGGTAGCAATTTGTTTTTGAAAACTCTAGGGTTTTGAGATTTACCAATTATTTAAAATAGAAATTCTTTAAAGTGTTGGCGCATGCTAAAAATTTTAACATTTCTTTGGTGTTCTTTCTTCCTGCTGTAGATGCCTTCTGAAAGAACATATTTTTATTTAATACTGCTTTAATCTGCGTTAAAATTTGCTTCGTGGGAAGGTTAATATTTCTATTACGTTCTCAAGATTTGTTCATCGATGGCTCCACACTATCTACGCATTTCGAATAATTCATCCAATCGTCACTATTTCTTCGATTTTAAATTTAATTTTTTATAGTAAAAACTGATGACTTTGGAAGTCCATATTTACGAAATATCGCTTTTGTTAAAAGCAAATTAATGGAATAAAAAAAAAAACTTAAGTTTATTTTGCAATCATTAGGCTTTCTAAACCGAATAAAATAAAACCATCCCCACGAAGAAAAGTACCAATGTTGGTTTAACGAAACCTTAATTTTTTTTTATAGAATGCTAAGTTAAAATTCTTTAAAATTTTTCGATGTAAAGTGTGTTGAAGATTATATATGTATGTATTCTCATTATGAATTAAAATAAAACAAGTAGCCCTTCCTTACTTACCTAGATGTAACCGAACATATTTTACTTAGTGTTGGCAATATTGGAAAATGTAGCAAAACAAGGAAACCTCATTGTTCCACGAAATCGTCAATGGATTACAATCAAATCGAAAATTAAATATAATACTCAATCGATTTCAACAATTTTAGTCAATACCACATAAAAATTAGAAGCTCTCTGGATTGCATTAAGGTATCTCACATATCATCACTATTTACATATATGGATTAAAATCAGCTGGATGTTATATTTGGTATGTGGGCGCTAAGTCGAGTGTTGATTCGATTCAACCAATTTTTGACACACTGATATAAACTAAAAATGAAGGTACTGGGTATTCTGGAATGTAAAAGTATCGGATGGAATTTCAAATTACGTTTCATAGGCGTTGTGGTAGTCCAATCACCCCCATTTTTGTACTATAATAGAGAATCATCAAAAGATCAAAAAGATGTTATGTATGAAATTTGGTTGATATCGGATCAGTAGTATAAATGTGGGGAGTGTCATGCACATTGTCCAAATTTGACACCAGCTGCTGTAATGTAAAATTTATTGTCTCTGATGTATTTACTTATTGAATATCGCAGTTTTTAACAAATCCGTTTTCATCCGATGTCACCTTTTTCACACTGTTGTAAGAAGGGTTAAGAAGATTAATTTGGGTGATATAGTTTTATCGGTTTATAATATATATGTATTAAACTCAATAGGAGGCGGAGCCACGCCGACTTGTCAAAGCGTTTGGAATCACAGCTGCTCCTCTTTAATATGATTCCTTATGTCAAATTTGCGTTTTTTTTATATAGAGATCAACTTTCAAAATATGAAATTCGTTGGGTAGTTGCCCGAATTACACATTTCGGTAAACAATGGTTGCCAATTTGGCACCTACAATACATTCGTCTTTAATATATGTATATAATCGAATACCAACTGTTTATTAACCCCATGTTATGAAAATTTATTTTAATACTTTTAACTTTTTTTTATGTACTTTCAGTCCTTGTGATCGCAATTTACGCGATGCTGAACTGATATCCTGTCGTCTGCGACGCGTGGAGCCACTGTGTCGTCTGCCCAGTTCGGCATTGCAGCAATTAGCCATGTGCGGCTTCTATGAGGATTTAGAAAAGGGGGTAACATGTAAGCTTAAGAACTAAAATATCTCTTTTAGTATGGTGTATTACATCAAGTTCATAGATTCATAGAACACACTCTGTATTTGCAAAGATAAATTTAAATAAGATTTCCTCTAAAATATTTTATTTTTTTAAATCTAATTTATATTTTTTTATTTATCATAAAATGTGGACTAAAATAACCCGCTCTTACAATTTGTTTTTGTCCTATAATATGCGACCAATCAGGCTTCAGTTCGAAAACACGTCACTGGAATAAAAAAAAACTGTTTGATATACTATACATCCATATGTACATATATGTATGCTTTGTGTGGCTTCTCTTTTATTGGTCTTGGCCTAAAAATCATGCGGTATTGCTCTTATCAACATGTTGCACAGTAGGTTTTGCCAACGAAGTTTATTTATATGATTATAAAATAATATGGATAGTTTTATCCGGTCCTTGCACTTAATACAGTATACATAATACATATATTCTTAAACTATTGTTTGAAAATAAGCGCCTACTTCTCATATAACACCATTGTAAATTCCATCGGACTCTTTCACTTTGCACTAGATACATCAAACGTCAGCGAATATATTATAAGTTAAATGTTATGAAAATAATCACTTTCTGATATAATGTCAACATACTGATATTCTTATTTCCATTATACCTGTCGATCAATATTAAAGATATTTGAACAATATTTAATTCTGTGTTGGAAATTGGTAAAATCGGCCGATAAATTTCGCCAGCCCTCTTATACAACACTAATGATTTTAATGTTTCTGGTAGCATAATTCGTTCAATGTGAAAGTTATCACAATACTGATTTACATACTGATTGACATACTGATTTCTACATCGTTGGTTGACTTTATGTCAAATCGATTAATAGTATGATTTGGTGCTAATAATGATGTAGTTGGTCCACAAGTCCCTAACATTTATATACCTAATATAATGATTTGCGATTTTTTCTGTTCCTAACTTGTTATACCCAGAACAACGTATAGTCAATCACGTTTAAGTACTTTTCGAAAATAAACGTTCGGATGAAACTGATGTAGCCAATTGTTAAGTATTTGAAAGTTACTGTACATAATTTAGGAAATTGTGTTTGTAAATCGTTCCACATTTTCACTGGATTTTCTGCTAACCTTACAAATGCTCGAATATAGTATTGGGATAGCTCATCTGACATATCCAACAAATTGTTTCTGTTTATCTTCCAAAATTTTAGTTTTGCAACTTATGATGGATGATCAGTGCAAATCCTAAAGGAATTTTCAGTTTTATCAAAACAATCTGGGGAGTCCATGTCCATCCCTCGGCTTCTGCAATATCATTAACCCTCATAATTCTTGTGTTTTGTATACTCTTGCAAACTTTTGCTATAGAGTTCCTAAAATTTGTATGTGGGCATGTGTTTTCATGAAATAATCATATGTAAAATGACGTCAGCCAGGAAGGTTCAAAACACTTGTTTGAGCTCTTCAACCGTTTAGAAATGTGATGAGGATGACAATATTTTATGAGCAAAAGGAAAAAAAGTAGGAAATATACTAATTTGAACAAATGAATTTTTGGAAAGCAATTATTTCTTATTTTATATGGTTAAGACTTAAATAATTTTTTAATAATGTGAGTTTAGCAGTTTAATGGTACTAATTTGTTCGATGACTGGAGATATTCCGTTTTGCCATCGTTCACTACAAGACCCATCTGCTTCGCTTCTTTATCCAGTCTGAAAAAAGCAGAACTAACGGAACGGATGTTGAGGACAATGACATCAATATCATCGGCGTACGCCAGCGGCTGTACACTCTTATTGAAGATTATACCTGCTTGATTAAGTACTGAAGCTCGAATTATTTGATGTTAGGAAGTTTAAATTTGTTTTGACTGACTGGCTTTTTCTTCGGCGCAACATATGAGTTTTGGACCAAACCAATTTAAAAATGTTGCACCTTTTCGTGAGCAATAACTGCTGTCAAATTTTTTTTTTTAAAGTTGGCATCACAAATAAAACTTTGGCTAAATATTTAGCGTAATTGATCAGCGTTACGAGCTGAATCGATTTAGACATTTTCGTCTGTCCGTTTGTATAAATGCGAACTAGTCTCTTGTTATGGAAATATCGATCTGAAATTTTGCACACATCCTCTTCTCACCATGACGATATTCTACGAAATTTGGCATAGATCATTGTCTAAGGCAAAGCTGCAATCTTCAAAGCAGTAGTGCAAATGGGACGACTATAGCATACAAATGCCATATTAACTGACCGATCAAAATAGATAAGAATATTTTTATACTTCTTAATGCTATAAAAAATTTAGAAGGATATTTCATATCAAAAACTATTTGCTTCTACTTTTCCAGTATTTCGTGCTGGTGAACAGGGTCGTTTTTGGTACGCCGTTCTAGGTGGGTCGCTTGAAGTTCGTTACCATGCTTCAGAGACAGATGCCAAAGTAAGTAAACGAAATATTTTACGTTTTATACATATATGTAGTAAGTTGTCAATCATATATGTACTATATGTAAACTCATGAAAAGTTTTGTTCATCTAACAATCATCAAAATAAGAATGTAAAAATTAACTCATTAATAAATTGCCATTTAATTTGTATATACTCTTATATACAATGCGTTTAGTTAGTTGGCTAAGCACGTTATTTCCTATACGCACGCTTAATTAAATAAACATGTTGCCCCTACGATGCTGACGCGAGCCTATGTAAAAACACTGCAGTGAAATTGTTGTATACAACTGTAAGGGTTTGTAAGCCAGCAATCGCGTTGGCCATAGAGGTGCATACATGCTTTGATTGGTGCCTGACTCCACTTACAGATGTTTAAATAGCTATGGCACACGTCGTAACACCGTCGTAATACTCGTGACTACTTCTACACACTACATATATACATATGTACCCCCTGGTGTATATATAATTAGTCATCGAAGCATACTTGAATGCTTAACTGCCCCGGTCTGGCAAATCAGTTGTGAAATCAAGCGTAACCATAAGATCACAATAGGAGTCTTCTATTAAATATGCGAGAAACAGAGTACATACGAACTATGCGAATCAAAAAGTTCTTAATTAAACGACGTTCGAATGTTGACTTCCCCTTTTATAGTTTTACAAATATTTATCTTTTACAAAAATAACACTACCAGATATACTACGAATATGCCGATTTAAATAAAATTTATGTAGTAACATTAGCATTTTAAAATGGGCGATAACCCCTTATACTCTCTATTTTACACAGTTTGAATTATTGTACAAAATGTAAATTATGTATTAATGAAGCTTTTAAGTTATGACACTATCATTCAAAAATGGTGGAAACTGGACTATAGCTTAAGTAGACCTCAACCACCTGCCCCTCAACATACAACGCTTTATAAGATAGTTATTTTAATAAAATTGCGTGAAAATATTTTCTATCGAAATAAAATAATTTTCGACAAATTCATATTTATATGTACATATGTATATGTGAATTCATAGATTTAAGAACTTTTATTGTTTAATTACAGACACCAGTAACTTTGTGCAATCTTAGTGTGGGCGCTACATTCGGGGAGTCCATATTACACGAACTACCAAGAGATAGTACTGTTGTCACGAAAACCACTTGTGAGTTGCTTCGTGTGGAACAACAAGATTTTCGACTTATTTGGGAAGTAAGTAAAATAATTATCTGCCTATGATGCTGTTTAGTATGAAATGATTGCGAAACGAGAAGAAAGTGATCAAAAATAATTATTATATTAATTTTATTTATAATAAATTTTGAAATTGGCCCTCTAAATCTAAATCCTTTACCACATTCGAAAGAAATTTCACAGATTCTTTCACTTTGAAAATTTCATAACTTATTGAATTAATTAAGAAATAACGAAAATACTGATTTTATTTTGAGGTTAAATGACATTGGAATCAGGCGACGTGTCATTAAATCGTATACACAAAGCTCAAATAAAAAGAAAGTCTTAAATATTTTTATACTCTTGCAACCAGTTGTTACAGAGTATATAATTTTATTCACTTACCTAAAACTAAAACTAAACGAGATAGATATATAGCAGGCTGGTATATATATAAATGATCATGATGGCGAGAAAAATTCATATCCGGGTTACTGCCTGTCTGTCCGTAAAAGCTGTAACTTTTGTAAAAATTGAGATATCTTGATGAAAATTGGTAAAAAACTAAACTCGCAGATACCGTAGTCGGACCATTGCCACGCGCACAAATCGCCATTAGCCGAATACCATAACTAAGCACTAAATATGGATATAAAACTGTAATTTGGCACAGATTATTGCGGTAGCAAGGGACAACTGTAAGCAAAAATTTTGAAAAAGTAGGTGTGGCCTTGCGTTCCGATAAGTTTAATGTTCATATTTATAGGATCCAGTGTGAAAATTGGACGATAGGCATGTGAAAATTGGACTTTTTGGTGAAATCACATATATCGGGACCGATTTCGACTAAATTTAATACGCAGCACTCTTCTCATATTCCCCTGTCACATGGTGAAAATGAACGAAATCGGACTATAACCATGCCTACTTCCCATATAACACAACTTTAACTCCACTTATTCCACTTAATTCTTTCACAAATCCTGTACACAAATCAATAAGGAATTAATATCATATAACGGGATAAAATTTTGCAGTAGTAATTCCTCTAAAGTATGCCACCTTATTAACCAAAATTGTCCAAATCCACCCAAATCTGTTCAAGCCCCTAGGTATCAATGTCTATAGTTGACTTTAGAGCGAAAGTATCGGAGAAACCTTTACTGATGATAGAAATTTTGTGAATCAAAAGTGGGTTGAATCGGGTCAATACTTCCCTAAGCCCACACATACCAAAGATTTTCGAACTTTCAGGTGACTTTATGCTGGATATGTCAGCCAATATTTGAGTTATCTATTTTTTAAGTATATAACATGTTAATAGTATGTGTTACTAGCAAAAATAGATAAAATCGGGTCAATCCTACCCCTAACGCTCACATATTGCATATAATGATTTGCGCGTTTCTAACAAAATTTATGTCGAATATGTCGGTCAGTGTATGAGTTATATATAGTATATCTATATATAAATTTGCTTGGATTCCATTCCTCTGGTTGAAGTTTTACACTTTAAAATACTTCCCGAACTTACCCCTTCCTTACTTGTTTAATTTGTTCTTTGAGTTCCTGGATACCCCAAATAATTTAGTCCTAATCGGTTTAGCCATTCCCATTTGTCAATATGAAAATCACTTTCATCGTCTTTATTAGGGTACGCTTACTCGGTTATAGCCGAAAATCGCTTTATTTGTAATAATTGAAAATATGTTGTTTTTGTTTTTACAGAAAAATAAAGAATTGATGAATGACATTATTACAACTTGTAAATTGAAAAATGGTAAGTTACATAATAAAGTATATAGTAATAATGGTATTTACATAAAAGTTATATACATAATAGTAGTAATATTAAAGATGTATGTCAGTTCCAATTAAATAGCACACCATAATAGATTTAATTCTAAAGTACCAAGAAATGATAGAAACATACATAAAAGTTGCGGAGAATTGCACATCAACACACTGTGATACTATACGTAAAATATAATTATTGTAATGGCTGGTTCACATACATCTTTTGCTTCGCTTTGCTTCAGACTTCGCTCTGACAAGCCTGTTGAGTTCTATTAAAGCTTTTGTATGATTTCGTTTACATCGAAACGAAAAAAGCGAAACAAAGCAATATTGGGCAACTTTCTTCTTTTCATGCTTTCACAAGCACAAAATTTGACCATTTCAATACTCTCGCAATAATTTGCTATAGAGTCAATAGTTCTGTTCACTTAATGGTTATTTGTTTAACCTAAAATGAGTATATTATATACATAAATAATTAGCGTGAAGAGCTGAATCGATATATGCGAATTAGTCCCTCAGTTTTTCAGATATCGGTCCGAAATTATGTACATCTCTCTTTGTCCTCAAGAAGCTGCTAGTTTATCAGAACAGCCGATATCGGACTTCTATTGCAAATATGTCATACAAATAGATCGAACCAAATCAAGCCCTTGTGTGGAAATATTTTTATTTGACAAGATATCTTCACAAAATTTGTCATAAATTACATGTAATTCATCCTTACTGGTTATGATGAATTTTGATGCCTCTAGAACTTTTGCCACTTTTCAATACAACAACCAAATTTGTTCAGCGCACTTACTTTGCTTCCGCCGTTTTTTTTTTTTTTTGTAAATTTAAGGCTTTATTGTATAAATTGTATATTACAAAATATTATTCAAAATATTGGCCGTCGCTAGCTATTACTTTTGACCATCTTTCTGTCAGCATGCGTATTCCGTGACGAAAGAACTCCTCATCTTTCGAGTCGATCCCAGTATCAATCCAATTTCTCACTTCTTCATAAGAAGTGAAGTGCTCGTTAGCTAGACCGTGTACCATCGATCGGAACAAGTGGAAGTCAGATGGAGGAACGTCTGGAGAATACGGTGGGTGGGGTAAGATCTCCCATTTCAGCGTCTCCAAATATTTTTTCACTGTGGCTGTTTTCCTTTTAGTGCTCGCCTCAAACGTATCAATTGCGGTATCGTATCGATCTCCTGTGATGGTTTCACTTGGCTTTAGCAGCTCATAATATATCACTCTCAGTTGGTCCCACCAAATGCAGAGCATGATTTTCTTGCCGTGAATATTCTGCTTCTGTCTCTTATACACATCTAGATGTGTATAAGAGACAGGACCTGATCCCACCAAATGCAGAGCATGATCTTGGCGAGGTGATTGTTTCGTTTTGCCGCCTTCGCTTAGGATTATCGTGGACCCATTTTTCGTCGCCAGTTACAATGCGATGTAAAAATTCCTTTCGGTTGTGCCTTTGAAGCAGCTGTTTATATGCAAAGAAGCGCCGTTCGACATCTCTTGGTTTCAAGTCCTAAGGAACCCAGTTTCCTTGCTTCTGAATCATCCCCATGGCTTTGAAACGTTTTGATATGGCTTGCTGTGTCACTTGCAACGATTCGGCCTATTCCTCTTGGGTTTGAAACGCATCTTGGTCGAGCAATGCTTCCAATTCAGCATCTTCGAAAATCTTCTCCTTTCCATCACCATGCCGGTCTTCGACTTCATAATCACCATTCTTAAAACGTTGAAGCCATTCGCGACATGTTCTTTCACTTAGGACAGCCTCACCGTACGTATCCGAAAGCATTCATTAAAAAGAAAGCAAATTTTCAAGCAAATTTTCGGCTCAAAAAGTGACATTTTCAGTTGAGAATAAATTTTGGATGCAAACAGATCTCTACAAATATTTTGTTGGGTTAATGTTGACACAAATGTCCAAGATCGATATAAAACGATTTAATCGACCAGTGCTTGACCCTAGAGACATCTATTAGAAAACGGCGGAAGCAAAGTTGTCGACCTATATATTAAGCTCCATTCATTGCACTAATCTGCCATATTAAATAGTTAGTTAAAAGAGGTAGTTCTGAGTAACTGTGTTCCGCTGGGGGAGTATTTTGAAGTAATTCAATTGAAGAACTAAGTTGTGTAGGGTAGATTACTTGTCGTTATGTTACTAATCTTTCACAGATGATGAATAAGAAGACTAAAATTCTTAAAGAAATAGATAAACCAATTGTAGAAAAAACTTGTCGGCGGGGCTAACTAGCCCTAACCTACCTAGACTAAGATAGTATGTGACATGATAATAGTTAATATAATATATAAAATCTGGTCGATACTACCCCAACTCCCATATACTACGTATAATGATTTTCGTTTTCTAACAAACCTTATGCCGAATATGTCGGTCAGGGTATGAATTATACATAGTATATGTATATATAGAGTTGTTTAGATTCCAATCCTATGATCTAAAGTTTAGTTTCCCAATGAACTACTCTATACATAAATATAATTTATGGTGTTGTTATGGCCTGTTTTTTAAAATTTTTTTCCGTTGAGGTATATGGTGGAGTGTACAAACAAATTTTTTTTCATCTGTTGGAGAAATGGCTGGGTGAACGAGATGCGTTTTTTCACTGGCTGACACGATTCCTCATGTTTACAGTTTGAGGCGTCCGCACCGAACGTCGAGCGGTATTATTACTTATGGGCCTTTTTCGAAACCTTCCATGGTGAAGTGGGTTTCTACATTAATTCTAAGGGTATAAGGGAACATAAAATGCAAAAAGAAAAAAATTGAAAAAGATTACCCTATTGACCCCTTAATAAAACTTTAATATCACTAATTTAATTTTTCTATATTTACATCTTGTTTCTCAGGGTTCGGTTCCGGCGTTTCACCAATTGCTTCGTCTCCAACTAAGCGTCCTCTAAGTCCAGATCATCCGAATCCGGCTTTACCTATTTCAGAGGTAAGGGCATTTTCCAATGTCACATTCAATATTTTTAATACTACATATATTTAACGCCGACTGATATATTTAAAATGCACATTTGGGTCAAATCGGTACATTTTTCCCAGATTGGTAACTAACTTTGATAATCGTGTAGTACTTGATCAGTGTAATAAAAGTATGAGTTGGAATGGTGAAATGAAAATAGTCGTGAATGAACTTACATCAAGTATGCCTCAGTACAAACCATGGAATAGGAAAATTAAAAATACAGAAAATGTATGGTTATAGTGTAACAAACTTCAATCGAAATCTATCAATATTAAGAAGAACCACTATCCGATTATCCTAAAGTTGCAAATTTGTGCGACACTGCTGGAAAGCAGTTCTGTTTTATCACCATCCTGTTGAAACCATTTAGTTCTTAGAAGAAATCAACCATTACATATACTTATCATATATGTATACATACATAACACTTTTAATTTTTCTTACATTGATCGTATGATTTACCACCATAACCATGTTGCAATTATTCATCAAAGTTATCTGTCTTCACCAGTCTCCAAGTTCTACTATGAGTCGAATGGGATGGGCCTTGCGTACACTCCTTATTGCTGACGGTTCAAGTTGTCTCAAGGATAGAAAAGTAAGTTTGAGAAAATATTTTGAATGTGTTAAATTATATACAAATGCATTACGTGAAATGTGTGGTGATCTCATATAAACTTAGATTATAAACAACTAATTTACTCGACTAGAAAATTAAATTATTAATTAATCCTAAAAAAACTATACAAAAATATAACTTTATTTCATTTTCTAAATATAGTATGTATCTACGTGCTATCATGATTACACCTAAACGGATGTACATATGTAATATTTACACTCATTTACTCTTACAGGTAGCTGGTAAATTTATTCGTAAATGTGCACCAGGAACGGAATTAGTGGATTGGCTGTTGAATTTGTCATCTATTGTTCACACTCGAGCCCAAGCTGCTGGCATGTGGCAAGCGTTGCTTGAAGAAGGGGTTCTATCCCATGGTTAGTCTGCAAATACACACAGAAATTTTTATTTTTAATAACAAGTAAGGAAGGGCTAAGTTCGGGTGTCACCGAACATTTTATAGATTAGAGTAGATCAATTTGTGTACTTTGAGTATTGCATTGTATTTTAATTTATTTTAATTGTATTGAAAAGTTATAATCCGGTCACGACAATTTTTCCACAAGGGATACCTCAGCTCAAATACCGTATATGTGTAAAGTTTTATTCCGCCATCATCATTGGTTCCTAATGTATATATTATACAGAGCAGCCATCAGAAGGAATTCAAAATAGCGTTATATTGGACATTTCGTACATGTCATCAGGGTGTTAAGAAAATATTATATACCGAATTTCATTGAAATCGGTCGAGTAGTTATTGAGATATGTTTTTTGGTCCATAAGTGAGCGACGCCACGCCCATTTTAAATTTAAAAAAAAAAATCCTGGGTGCAGCTTCCTTCTGCTATTTCTTCCGTAAAATTTTGTGTTCTGACGTTTTTTGTTAGTCGGTTAACGCACTTTTAGTGATTTTCAACATAACCTTTGTATGGGAGGTGGGCGTGGTTATTATCCGATTTCTTCCCTTTTTGAACTGTATGTACAAAAAACTTACTAGGAGGCGGGGCCACGCCTACTTTTCAAATAAACTTACGGCCAAATATGCCCCTCCCTAATGCAATCCTTTGTGCCAAGTTTCACTTTAATATCTTTATATATGGCTTAGTTATGACACTTTATAGGTTTTCTGTTTTCGCCATTTTGTGGGCGTGGCAGTGGACCGATTGTGCCCATCTTCGAACTTAACCTTCTTATGGAGCCAAGAAATACGTGTACCACGTTTCATCATGATATCT